ATAGTGATAAGAAAACAACAAGTCACATAGAGCTCAAAAGTAGCACAAATATTGGGCACTAATTACTGATGATTTTTTTATAGTGTTAGTTAACTATAAATAGAGGTTTGCCTTGTTTGTTTACATCATTGACAAACGTAACAATGACTTATCATCAAGTTTATTTTGCATATTTGCCATTACCCACTCTCGCTATTATTTCTTATTTTGTTTTTCTATCTTTGAAAATAACGTTCTTGTCATACACCTTTTGGGGTGAAACTTCCAAAAATTCTTTCTTAGTGGATTCTAAGGATGAATCAGTAAGCCCAGTCAGTAATAAATAATGTAATTTTATATTTATAGATACTAGCTGTTGCTTACGGTTCAGCCTGCGTGTATGGCGGTTATCCTCTGTAAAAAGTAGCCTAACTATTACTACCTGATAATGTAGCTTTTCATTGGTGAAAGAATTGAAAAAAATTGGTTTAATGGTTTAGGCGTGAAAGCGTAACAAAGAAACAACATACAAACAAACTCATTTTCACATTTGTAATATACGTATGATAAAAGATTAATAACGAGAAACTTTAAATATCTCTTAGCTGCTCTCAATTAACTTAACGTTGATATTCATAATATTAATAATACGACCTACAAAATAAATAGAAAATGAAAATGCACGGTAAGAGGAAAGGCCGTGCTAAGCTAAATGTAGGGAATCACATCCTAAATATTATAAATGACAGTTAAGCTTGTACGATTACACCTAGAAAGCACATTTAATTCGAAATCTATACCAATAAATAAAAGTGGAGTGTCTGTTTGTAATATTAAAATAACCGCTTTTTTACTAAATGCATACATATGCATTTATTAGTGGCATATGTACCGTGTAAACATACATATGTTTACACGGTACATATGCCAAAATAACATTTTTTTTTAATTTTGTTTGGTCCGGGTAATCTCTGGAATGGCTGGACCGATTTCAACGGGACTTTTACTGGCAGATAGCTGATGACATAAGGAGTAACTTAGGCTACTTCTTTTAGACTAGCTTCGCCCCGCGGCGTTGCCCGCGGTTTATAACAACAAACGCTGGTAACACCGTGGGTCACAGCTAGTTACAAATATGGAACGATCCTCTTTTCCGACTTTATTTGAACTACGCCCAAATCTATGCGATATTTCGAAATTGCATTTGCATACGAGTATTTTAAACTCGCTTAAATATAGTGAAATACTAGCTGAGACCCGCGGTGTTACCCGCGTTAGTGTAAACGTACATATGCATTTAGTAAAAAGCGGTTATTTTAATATTACAAACAGACACTCCAAATTTTAATTTATTTATACCTAGTTTAGCTTACTAGGTAGAACAGCATAAAATAATTATTTAATGCCGTAGGTATTTCTCATCTTAATAAAAAAAGTAGAGGGTCCTATTTTATACTCATACATGACCTTCTATTAGTGTGTTACAAAAACTGAGCTTAGATATGTCATGTGATGACTCTAATCTCCTTTAATTGCTTTATGGCTGTCATTTGGTCCTATTGTATGGCTTCAATCGATTCATGTTTGTCTACAATGAGTGTTTGACTAGCAAGTATAATGTTAAATTTGCATAAGCAAAAACGTGACCATAATCTTTGACGATATCAATAGCGGTCACAGAGAATTTTTATCCGTCTGCCATGGTTATGTTTTTTTGCGTGTATTTTGTGTTTTTTTGTAAATTTCTTTATTACTTCGTATCTTCCAAATGGCAGGATGGATTTCGACAGTTGAGGTATTGTTTTTTTTCCGTCTCAAAAACCCAAGTGTCGTTAAATGGCTTTTTGTAAAAAAATAAAATAGTAATAGGTTAATAAAAAATATTAACCAAACCTATCGAGTAGGGTATCAAAATCAAGAAAATTAAAAGGGTAACCCCATAAATATATTTAAATTTAATAAGGAGTAATAAATTGGTTTAAAAAGTTTTTGATGGCATAAAAATGGGCCATGTTTGTATCTTTTTAGTGCATTACTTTTAACTTGTCTTTTTGCAGTCGAGTTTTTGATTTTTTAATTATGTAGACTTGTCATACTAGTATTTAGTACTATCACTGTCTCATTATTGCCGAGTGAACCCTATTGTCAGTTGGAAGTACTCAATTAATACCGTGTCAATTCCTGTTTAGAAACTAGTAGTACGTAAGCAGGTAGCTACTATCGCTTTGTATGTAGTGGTAAGGTGGATCTCATAAAACTTATAAATAATATACGAATAATTACCCAGTTTCGATGAGAGGTTTAAAAATTTCCTGTTTGAAAAATTCTCGATTGTGTTAGCTAACAGGAAGTGACTGTTAAAAAAATACTATTAAATTTATTTACTACTTACGTATGCTGTTAATTGGTCCTATTTAGGACCACTGCAATCAGTCGAATCGTAACCTGTTACAGCTAGCGCGCGTGCTAATTACTTTTCATTCGTTCATGAAATGTTTTTTCTGTGCATTCCGAAAGTGCAAAAATTACGACAGAAAAGTAAATAAAGATAAAGGAATATTGTATAGCATTAACAACATCAAATGAGATAGTTCGAACTATTGAAGGGTATGTGTGTAAACTCATTCATCACACACAAAAAAAAAATTATCAACAAAGGACAGTATGAAGTTTTTAAAAAAGGGTATAAGACAAAAAATGTGAATGAAGTAATTTAAAAACAAAACATAGTTGGATTTGATCCTTCCTGTTTGCCACCAACAAAACAAGAATTGTTGCAACAAATTAAACGAACAGTATTCATCTGCAAAGGATGGTGTAATGCACACATACTCGTACCGTGTCCAGCAAATTGCCAGAAAATTATGGATGGACAATAATTGATGGCAAAAATGAATATTATTGGTTTGATGGTCCCCAAAATCCATCTTTTGAAGATTAATACTATTGTTATTTATTGATTGATTCGCCAATTTATTACAAGAATTGTTGCAACAAATTAAACGAACAGTATTCATCTGCAAAGGATGGTGTAATGCACACATACTCGTACCGTGTCCAGCAAATTGCCAGAAAATTATGGATGGACAATAATTGATGGCAAAAATGAATATTATTGGTATGATGGTCCTCAAAATCCATCTTTTGAAGATTAATATCACTATTGTTATTTATTGATTGATTCGTCAATTTATTAATTTTTTTCATGTTATTAGAGTCAGATATCATAAATGAGGCAAATGAAAGAGATGAAGATGAGAGTGATGTTAGTAGTGAAGACGATTTATCAGATGAATCTGATGTTTTTTTAAAATGTAAAAGCACAAATTTTTGTACTTACTTTACTAGAAAATAGTGTTATTTATATTTAGAAAAATATGTTTTCACTTTGTTTTGTTACAAATAGAAAAACAAAAAAGACAGTTCTTGTCAGACTAGTGATATATACAACAGGACATTGCTTAATTTGGATAGAGACTTGTTCGGATTTTTTTTTCAAATAGTGTTACTTGTTAATAACTTCTTAAAACGGTTGATGGGTTCGCTAGAAATGGTACTAAAAGGTGCAATGTCCAAATTAAGTTTTTTAGTGAAGCGATCACATAAGTACTTTAGTATTTGAGCAGTAATTTTAGAAATCGTAGTTTTTAAGCGACTAAAACCTACGGGCTCGAGCAACGTGCCAGCGATGTCGCGGGACTTCGGTCGTATAACTTAAATTACGAAGAACAGGTGCTTGGCTATTCATGATTTTTATCCTCATTATCAAGTAGTGGACTTGTTCTTTTTATATAGCAGTGATAGTAACAGGAATCTTATAACAATGATTCATTGGAGAAACGCGTTGTTACGTTAGTCGCATGCAGTGATATATTGCATCTTATTATTTTTTTTTGGTGTTTGAAAACAACAGTTTTCTGTAGCGAAGAGATTGTTGCAGTCTTATAAAGTTATAATCCTACATAGTTTCTTTTTTTTTATTTCCAAGACTAAGCAGGGCCGGTTGGCCATAATTCTAAAATAATTAATATGCCAATAGATAATAATTAATAACAATACGAAAGGAGAACGTGACCATAAAAATGATCATATTTCCAGATTCGTAAAATGTTTGCTGGAAATACTTTGCGATCACACAACAACACTATGCTGTGCAATCGGTGACGAAAGCCACGAAAATTGTTACGATATTACTTAATAAATGATACTAAATCTTACTATCATGTGACTTTATGTGACATAACTGTGTAATATAACCAAGTGCCTTCAAGTTTTTGCCGCTTGTAATATCTTATATTAGGCCAAAGACACATGCTGTTCAATGGATACCGCAACAAAATCATCTTCAAATGTTAAAGTTAAGAAAAGCGGACGTAAAAATGAAAAAAAAGAAAAAAACAGAAACACAGGCTTCTGCGGATACTTTAGATGAAGTGTGCCAGCAGATGAGCAAGATAACAGACGACGGAAGCGATGTTACCTCAGATACCTCCACCGATAGCGAAGACTTAGTAAACGCTTTTAATTACAACACCATCACATCACTAGCTGCTCTTAAGGATATAATACAAGGAGACAATAATGATACACCAGAGACAGATAGTTTTTTTCCAACATTATTTTATGAATCATTGCAATAACCTTTCAAGTAGCAACTCAAACTCGCCGTTTCCGTTTCCGGAGAGACGGAGACTATCACAATGTCGCGAGGAAGATGAAGACGATGAAAGAAAAGAAAGTGATCTACTAACTCCGAATGTATGGTTACAAACCAAGGCGGACATCCTTCCACGAGAACACTTAGAACTAGAATCGATTCAAAATTTAAGCTTCCAGCGACGCAACAGCAGATAAAAATGCTAATGTTGTTAGCGAGATAACAATTGTCGATAGTAATATTTTATCTGAGGGTAAGGATCCTCCGAAACGAACTGTGATGGGCGCTCGGCACAAGTTTTTGGTTACAACTACACCACCAGCACCACCCACTATTGAACGAGTGTTACGTGCGCAAGTACACAATGCGCCATACTGTTCATTTTGGAACAAAAGGTGCAGAAGAACAGCGTCCAAATGTACGTTCTATTTTTGAGAAGCAGAATCTCCACCACGATAAGAAATATTTTGATAGTAGTTTAATTGAAATAAGATCTAAAGTAGATGAAGTACTCACAAGTTCTGAAGATATATGGGTTAAAAGAACCGAGGAGAAAGTAAGTATTTAGTTTATTTTATTTTGCTTGATATTGCTCCATCTTGTCGATGTCTAAGACAATATGTCCTATTACAGGTGGCATCTGTAAGAGAAGAACCTAATGTTACCTCTCCAGAAAATAAATCAGAAAATAAAACCGATGAAGTAATATTTCGTTCGGCTGAAAATGATGCTGAAAAGCCCAGATCACGGTCGGGGACATGGAGTTCTGCAATAGGAAGCAAACAGAAAGAACTTTTGAAGAAGACTCCAGCTCGTAAAGAGAAAGAAGTGCGACGCAGTAGTGACGACAGGAGACAAAAACGAGGTAAGTTTTTTTGATGGAAACTATAATGACTTGACAAACCGCAGGTTAAATCCTTGCTATTCAATGTGTTTCTTGTCCTGCATGCGACCATATGAAGAAGACAAAAGTACTTGACGCTTGTAGTATTGACATATATTTTCATACTTTATTAAACTATTACATAAACGTTATATTGCAATTTTAAAATACATAAGGGATTCGACAGCATGCATACGCAATAATGTTAAAAGTATTGTCAAATCGAGTGAAGCATGCGTTGTTTGCAGTCAGTAAATATAGATTTATTATCGGCTTAAGTGTAGTAGATGGGCTACAATGTTTGCCAGAGTGTGTCTACGTATTAGTTCGCGCCAATTTGGCAGTCTGCCAATCGTCTAGCCGTTAGGGACGGCGTTAACACGCGAGCTATTCTGTTTATTTTTGTATTCTACTCTTAAATTTTGGTGTTGTCTGCTCTCCTATTTTGCTAATATCCTGTTTAAGAAATTATCACTATTGAAGATATCAAATATGTAAATTTAGTCAAAAGAAAGTATTTTAAATAACAACTCAAAAATCTTTATTTTTGATTTTCCTGACGTGTAACAACTAAGTCAAAAATAGCCGAATATCGGACAGTAGTGTAAATACTTTACACATAATATAGCAAAACAACTCGTTTGCGCAGTTCCTTGTGTTGTATTGTTTACCTATGCAATCGAAGCAAATTTATAAGTCCCGGTGAACGTGGAGTTCGGCAACAACACTGAATACGAAAATGGGGTTACACAATGCGTTGTATTCTCGATGAAAAGTTACAGCAGTCAGTCTGATTATTTTCTGTAACCGTAAATGTAGTAAAGCTTTTGTATTTAGTTTACCACAAGTGATAGTAACTTGTTTTTGTTACTAATCTATGTTTAGGGACTTTTTTCAACTAAAAACACTAACAACTAAATAAATAAATCGTTTCGTATAGTGAATACAATCACTTGCAATTAATTTTACAAGTGAGCAATCATCGTACCATAACAAATTGTGTGAGAACACTTTATGATAACACAGTTTTACTACGAAACTGCAGTATGCTTTATACAAGTAAATCTGTTACTTATAAAATTGGTAACCGGCCTTGATATTAATGTAGTCAAATAGTCGCCTTACGAGTAAAATATTATCATTGTTGTTTTAATCGAGATAAATTCTTTGTACTTGCTCATTGCAGATATAATTTACTACTGAGATGATAAATAGCATCTTAGAATCAAAGGTATTAGAGTTTAAAAATATTACAAAAACCGAGATGAACTATGAAATTCTTTAAGATCTTTGCGCGATAGTTTATAGCACTTTAAATTTTGCTCCATTACGCCATATCTTTTGTTAGTCGCACTAAACAATACAACATTTTGCATTACAGTAATTTATTTAAGTAACTTTTTTACTTTTTCTGGAATCTGACTTTGAAATTTACACTTTTTTTCCTATTATAAAAATACCTTCACTCCATGATAGGAGCGAAAGACCAAGTAGTATTAAGAATGTTTTAATGCCGGGTATTTTAGATGTTCAGGGCCTTTGTGTGGTTATCATTTTGCTAGCTTATTTTTGTATGTTAGAAGGAGATCTGTATTAAAAAATAACATAAAACATTTTATGGATTTGTGTCGACTTTTATATAATCGCATGAGAAGACTACGTACTGAAATAAGACAATATAAATACGAGTTCTGCTAAAATATCGGCGTCTCATACAAAACAATGTGTATGTAGACACGGCTGATCTTTAAACTTAGATAATGCTTTGACATTGTTCTACAGAAGCTATATAAAAATGCATACCTCTGATAATAACTGCAAATAAAATTGACATATATGGATATCTGCATCATTGATAAGAAATGGCCGGTTCAAATATGGAGGGACTTTAAAAATTACACGAACTTCTATGTAGGCTTCAAATTGGCTCTAGTTGGTACAGACAAAATAACATTGTGACAAGCATATAGGCATCATAGTGTACAACAATTTGATTTTTAAAAGTAAACCCTACAAAATAGATAAAAAATATATTAGAGCAACGTGTAAAAAAATAGATAAGCCATGTGATCACACATTTATAGCAAATATTAAAGATACAGCCTTGAATAAATGTAAGAACCCGTGTAGATTATATCACGGTTGAATCAGCAGCAGCGGTAAAATTTAACAATACTGTAGCATATCGACCTCTTTTCTATGACGCCATACTTAGAAAAGAGGTCGATTAGTATGTGAGAAGGTCGAGGTTCAGAATAGAATGAGGACCTGAAGTTACGACATCCACTCAGAAGACTTATAACAGAAGCGCCTCTGAAGATAAAAAGTCATAAGATAATTGTAAAAGTAAGCTTCGTGCAATAAATTATTTATATTGCAGCCTTCGCATTTTAATTGTGAATCATCTACACTTTCCTGGAGAATTTTCCTCTCTCTAAACCAAGCGGGTTCGAGCATGACAAAAAGTGCTACAGTACATTTTTGAACATTGCTTTTAACTTATTTTATAGAAAGAAGTTAATCGACAAATCGTAATTCACATATGATAACATTACTCTTTAACTTTTTTGAATTCCTTATTGGGAACACCAAAAATTTTTTTAAGGATTTACCACTATAGTATGTATACTACTATTATTTACCACTTGTTAAATATTTTTGATAGCGATATGAATATCTTATGTATCAAAACAAATTGTGTTCGTTTTTTTGTTGTCCGATGTTGTATATACCTTTCATATACTTACCTTGCATATAAAACAAAAACATTTTACGTGAGTGATGATATATTGATGTATATAACAAAACTTCTTAATGAATTTGTAAAGAATTAGCAAAAGTAAATAGTATTAGGGGTTAAAGTATGAAATTGACGATTTGAACTGAAAAATTGAAAGTCGTTTTTTTTCTAAGATGGAACATTTATTCAATCAAAATATTTACCCTCATTATCTATATATAGCTGCCATCTAAACGGAAGTTCATTTATGCCTTTACAATAGAACTCTGGGGATCTAGATTAGACAAACTGTGTGAAGGCATTTTGTACTGCCTCCTGGGAAGAAATTACCCAAATCACGAAAAAAATCCGTTAGAGCAAGATCTGGCGAGTACGGAGAATGCCATATGGTTTCTAACTGCAGCTCCTGTAGAGTTACAACGGTTTCTCGTGCAGTGTGAGATCTTGCGTTATGGAGCAATAATTGTGACGATCGATTTACGAGGGACTTATCGTAGCTGTTTCACTGCCAGTTTCGCCTCAAACATCTGCTGTTATTGCCTGACCAGACCTGAGAAAGCTATAGTGAATAACATTATATTGCAGCCTTCGCCACCCTTCTTGAAGAGACCACCAAAGAGTTACCATTAACTTTTTTATGGTAAGCTTTGCTGTAGGGTACTGTTGCGGCGTTTGCCCTGGGGCCATTGCATTTTTCGCTTACGGTTATCGTAAACAATCCACTTTTCGTCACACGTCACAATTCGATCCAATATTTCTTCATTTCTGTACCGATTCAGCAAGGCAACACAAGTTTCAGCACGTATTTCTTTCTGCAGATCAGTCAAATCATGAGGCACTCATTTTTTTTCTTACAAGTCAATATTGTAGGCATGGTATCGTTAAACCATGCTGCTAATTCCTGGGTAGTTTGACTCGGAAGGGCTGCCATCATCTACTTTAATTCAGCGTTATTCTCCTGTGTCTTCCACGTGCTTCGTTCTTCTAGTCGAAGTTTCCATTATGGAAGCGTTTAAACCAAAAAAACGCACGGTGCGTTAATGAGCAGTCTCCTCTCCAAACACAGCGTTGATATTCCGAGACGTTTCTGTCGCGTTAGTTCCGCGTTGGAACTCGGATTCAAAATTGACTCGGATTCTCGAACTCTTTCACGTCTAAGCTGAAATAAAAAAATGTTTCACATTTTTTTAAAGAGGAACCACATAGGTTATCATGTGAAAAAAGTTTCACACGAAAATCTCACACCATGAAAGTCTTAAGTCAATTCAAAGTATCTATTACTATACAACGGCAACTTCATACTTTAACCCTTATTATAAAGATTAGTCAGACAGTAGTAAAGTAGAGTAGTAAAGGTTTCCTCGACGACTTTTATAAAAGCCAAGCTAGTTTTTGACAAAGTACTTTGAACGGTCTATCTAAACTTTAACCTTCACTGAATTTATTTTTATATAAAGTGCGTTATTACTGTTATTAGAAGCAGACGACTATTTCGAGCGTTACATTGAACCTAAGAAATAATATTATGAAACGATCTTTATTAGAATTGCATGAGATTCAGGGAATATTTATACCATGAATCAGATTTTAATATTTTAACAATACAACATCGACAACACTAAAATGTTAACAGATACCTTATGAATATTGAATGCTTACATTATAAACAATCAATGTAACTTTTCGTCCAAATTTTTTTCATGTAAATGTTAAGTTTTATTTTGGTTATGGTACGAACTTGCTTTGTTTGCGAGCAAGAGAGCGAGAGTGTAAAAAATGAATATCGAATACACTAATTAATAATATTGCCGAATAGTTATTTTAATCGTTGTACTGGCTTTAACCTATTGTTTGCAGCACTTGTACGACAGCACAAAATTCAATGTTCCTCAATTGAAATGTTAAATGATTACTACTTCTTGAATTATGAATAAACTGTGGGACAGATGCGCAACAATCCAAGGACACGCTATAAAAGAGTTCAATGAGTAGGGGGAAAAATAAATAAGCCGGTCACCCGTATTGTACATCAAAGGGAACTGTTTTGTAATTGTAACTCGACTGCGGCTCAATATGTAGATTCTGACACAGATACCAGATATACTGTCAATGTTTATCATTTTATGACCTTCCATTCTTGACGTAGTATTTATGAATCCAGTACATATTACAATCAAAGTGACGGCTTGTTCTTGCGACAGCTCTTGACTAGTGAAACGTATTCATGTGATAATTGTTTTAATATTATCATAAGGTGCTCCCTTATGATAATATTATGAAAACAAAAAAAAAACTAATTAAAAAGTGTCAGTTAAATGCCAACCATCTTGTACCTGAGTAGGTATTCGCTAATGGTTGTATGTATTGCTTTCCTTCCATTAGATAGAAAAACTATAATCTATTCAAACCATGTTACGAAGTACTAGCTAATCTATTTTTAGTAAGTTTATCAGCAACCTACAGCGTAAAATATGTTTTACACTGTAGATTATAGATAAACTAGTTTTCATCATAGTTTATTAAGTTGGTTTAAAATATAAAAATGACCCTGTCTGCTTATTTCCGCTATTGTATTCAAACGATTATGACGCAGAAGTAAACTGGAACTATGATATGAATATCGACCTTTTCCTAGCACTATGCATGCTAAATCAAGGAACGTAATGTATCGTGGGAGAGGTATCTTTCGGCACGTATCGTCCACCTCAACTGGAGTGATTACCACATCCTCAGAGAAAACCTGTGTTAAGTTGTGCTTCTGTTCTATTAGCGCCAATTGCTTCATAAGACCAAAACTCAAGATGTCACAATCACATCCTTGTTTTAGAACTCTGTTCATTTGCAAGAATACACCACTTGGTATTATAACAGGTTACTCAAACGTTCAGCCAAAATAGGCAAACCCGTCACTGCTGCTGTTGAAAATCATGCAAGCGTGATTACCGATGGATTTTTTTTGCTAACAATACTAATAATTGGGTATTTTACTTTTCAGAACAACGCCTTGACGCTGCTATCACACGTAGTACCCAATCGGTTGGAGAACGCAAACGTCGTGGCTCCACAGACGATGGTCAACCCCCATCCAATGTACCAGCAAACTATACACGGTAATGTTTGTTGACATTTAGTTCATTTTTTATAGCCGATAAGTAATTTTCATACGACAGGAATAAAATGTTAGAGTTAAAATTGATAGAAGAATGTCCTGATTACCATAGGACTATCCTGGAACTCACTGGTTAACGCGCGCAGAGCTAACTGAAACTATCATTTTTATCGATCAAAAACTACAATCAGAAACTTATTTATTAAAGATTCTTTGCGGAGAAATAATATAATCTACAGAATGAAGACTACAGTTTACTGAAAATTTTCATCCTACTCTCTGATCTTCTTGTAAAGCATATAGAGAGATATGATGCTTATTATAATCGTACTTATAATTCTTTTGCAGGGACCTCCGGCGTCAGCCGGAGGCCAGCATTATTTGATATCTTAAAGCCGAAGCCGCGTAGCAGCGAAGCGAAGAAACAACCGTCAATAATGCAGCAAATGATATCTGCTGTACAGGTAAGGCACTTTTACGTAAGATAGATTTTCACACTAGCCAAGTATTCAATGTATATTATAGATAGTCTAGTTTTGGTTCGAAATCGTATCAATCTTTATTTAAAAAAAAAAACTCTGTTTAACTAACTAAATGTTATAATATTATTTAACTATTATTAATTTTCGTTTTGTAACGGCAGGTCCTGCAGCTGAAGCATTTATATATTTCTATTATTCAATAAAATTCTAAGGATTTTTGTACTAAAAAAAATGTACAACTGTTTGTCTCTAACCTCATCACATAGTTACGAGTACTCATGTTTTGTTATCTTTGATTTCAGAATATGACTAAATCGAATACGTCAACCAAAGAGTCGCCAAAGCCTGACACCTCAAAAGCGGAACCAGCGCTCGCAACACCCGTATTGAAGGCTAAGGATGGGTCTGCACATCCACATTCTGGTAGTGATACGCGGGTACGTACAAAAATTATTGATTCTTATGTTTATTATTTATTTGTAATGGTATAAACTGGACCAGTTATTACCTATTATAAGCTTTTTGTTAAAATCTATGTATAAATTTACCACGAAAATAACACTTCTTTAAAGAAAATAACCGTGTACTTAATATGGTGAGTATAAATTGTGTCAACTTGTAATCTCATTTCTGAAAATAAACATTTATTATAAACGGAACTGATAACAAACGTTGGATACTTAATCAGGACAAGTATGTTAACTGTATTATTATAATACGTAACTTGTATGTTCCCATGATTTTAATACGGCAATTTTTTGCTGATCTTGTTTTACTTACATTTTGATCCCTTCTAAGGTTTCCTTGAAAAGTACATCTTAGAAATAACGCCGCTCTTAGCACAGTACATATTCGACATTTTATGTACGATACAACTTTTGTAAAATATTTTTGTCTCAACATAAGAAGACTAGCCTCTAGATACAAATTTTTAATTGCAGGGTCCACTAAGAAAATCAATTTCAATTTAAGGATTCAAGCCAAGTCACAAAATTCTTAAATACCTGTATAATATTAGTAACGTTAAGGTAATATAGAAAAAGTATTACTTTAAGACTAGGATGTTAAATATTTCGTTTTCTTAATTATTCGCTCATATTTTTATGACTAGAGTACAAGAGGCTGTGTGACCACATTCATTGGTATATTTATTACTTAGTACATCATCATAATAAGTACTTCTGTTTACCCATCAATAACAATTTTATTATTATGTCCCTTCGGATCTCCTGCTCCTCAGGGCCAGGAGCTAGGAGTATGAGTTGATTCCACTAAAAACCACCCCGACGGCCGGCCTCAGATGCCCTACTCTGGGAGGACCTGGACCATGTTATTTCAGGTACTCCCCGAATTGACACCATGCCTAGTCAGGCCCTATCCCAGGGGAAAAACACTTTCCCCTCAATCGCGACGTGTCGGCCCAATTTCGTCTTAATGTAATCAGGCCGCCATCCTGTCCCCTACCGCAGCGTTCAATCTGCCACCAGAGGTCCCCATTCTTTAGCGGCCCGCGCCCCAGTCGGCGGCTGGTATGGTCGCCGATGTCCTCTACGGCTCGGGATCGGCCCTCTCCCGATCCCGTTCAGCGGTCACTTTCTGGAGCATTACAGCTTCACAGAAAGAGGACCACTGCGCCCCAATTATGTCCTATGCTTAGTACATTTATTATACTCAAAGTATAACAGTCAATCCTACGTACATTGGAAAGTGTCTTACTAAAATTATGCCAATTCTAATTATTTATTAATAAAAAAAAGAAACAATTAACAGCATTTACAATATTTTTTCCGTGTGATGACGGCTTAAGAATACAGAGTGTCACCACCCCTATTCATCCCGTTGGTGTCGTAAGAGCCCGACTAAGGTGGCAAAATACGCAAGAAACAGCATTACAAAGAGAAGGAAAACTTGAAACAAACCCTATACCAACACGTCTGACCAGCGTGGTACAGTAGGCCAAAACCTCCTTTCTAAGGAGAGGCCTATGTCCAGCAGTGGACTATTAAAGGTTGATGACATCATCAACAAAATATTGTCATCATCTCATGATGACAATATTTTGTGTTGGTTACTGTAAAATAGATATTAAAAATATTACAGGTAATGTGTGTCCTATTTTTCACTACGTTCTTTTGAGTGGATTTATGTATGTTTTGAAAGTGCGTGTAAAATATATAACTATTAGAGAACAAGTGATTTAATTTATCGATGCTTTTCGTGGCCGATACATTATTATATTGTGTATTATTAAAGTGAAACTTCTTTGGATTCGTTTGTGAGTTGAAACTCGATGAAACGAAAATAGGATTATATAAATATTTTGACAGTGTGATTTTTTATCATTTTATTTGGTACTAGCTGGTACCTGCGACTTCGTTCGCGTGGAATTCAAAAAACGCTGCCTTAGTGGGTTCGATTCCCGAGCTGGGCAAAATTTTGTAGGGTTTTTCTGAGATTAAAAAAAAAATTTGGAAGTTTCACTTCTGCTGTGTGTAAATTGCACACACACACACACACACACACACACACACTTTTATATTGTGTTTCGTAAATAACCCATATTTTTTTAACATTATTTAGAAGAAAAAAATGGTTACTGTGGGTTACCATCGCGGGCATTTTTGTAGACCTTTTTGAGATATACATTATTTTGGTTAATATCGCAAGGTTTAGCCAGCGTTTGCAATGAACATTCGCCCCCCAAAAACATGTTTTTTACGACAAATCTTTGAAATTCTCGGATTACTTCTACTATAACATGCATGTATTATACATATAAAACTTCCTTTTGAATCGCTCTCTCCATTGGTAAAAACCGCATTAAAATAAATGAAATCCGTTGCTAAGTTTAAAAGATCTAACTAAGTGTACAACAAAAAAAGCGACTTTATACTATGTAAAGATAAAAGTACCTAAACGATGAAATCAATCATTATAAATAACACTCATAAAGAATGAATGCAGTGTAGTTAAGTGTTACGATCCTTTATTTAAGCATGACGCAACGAACAACGGATGGGTGACTTAATCCAATGAATATTATATACTTTGTGTCACGGTTGAGAATAGGCATCTTAGTTTTAAAGTGGGTGTTACTAGGAGGCTTTCAAAAGTACGCTCACTTACAACAATTTGATTCACATAAAACTAAATTCTTAGAATTATAATATAAAAGGGACATTGTGTCACTTAAGAATAATTTACGGGCCATCAGGTTTATTTATTTATGAGCACTACCACATCATACATAATATACTAATAACTTATTTTAACAATACTGCCGTCATAAAAAAAGTCACTTCTAACATTTTTTTTCAAAATCGACCTCCTTATATATTCGGAATTAGCAGAAAAAGACACATCTGCCAGTATTTTTTATTTTTGCCAAAACTGAATAGAACCCTAGAAACATCACTAATAAATAAGGCACTTCTACTTGATACTGCAAAATTCACTAAATATGAAATACATTTATATCGAGTATTAAGTTGAAAAGACGTATGAAAAGACGATGTACGTAGAAGCGTCTTAATAATTTATAAAATATGTATCTAACTAATCGATCATAGAATGAAAATACCCCTCACTATGCTCACAAGAAGAAAAGACATTTCTGCGTAGATGTGCTTTTGTATTGTCTTATGACTAGTATAGAAAACAATTAAAAATGTTAAATATAAGTAAAATCTTTTCAAAACTGGGATATGAAGAGTGTGAAGTTTGTAAAAAAATATTTTATGCACAACTCGGAATTTAAAGAACTAAGACACACAAATTGTCAAGAGTGCCGAAGTTATGAAAGACACCGGAACAAATATCACACAAATTGTCAAGAGTGCCGAAGTTATGAAAGACAACCGGAACAAATATACAACAGCCAGGCAAGCATATAAATCTGACGTTGAAAAACAAAATCAGACTGCGGATTTGGCGAAAGTCATTATGCTTCCACCACTTGAAGAATTTAAACTTGTTGTGTTTTGAATTGTATTGTTTTTTATTGGGAATAATAGTGTTCAATGAAAGTTTTGTTCTAATAGGTAATAAACAAAAACACTAGATTTCAAACATTTGCTGTGATATGGCATGAAGCAACTTCCGGCCGCAAAGTGGGTGACATCGCCAGCTGTTTTAGAGCTTTTTCATATGTGAATAGAGAACTAAGACATATTGTTATTTGGTTTGGACAATGGTGCATCTCAAAACTGATCTTTATATTCCTACTTAATTTATCTCGTCATTTTTTTATGATTTTGAAGATTTTTACCACACAGTATCGAACGCCAGAACAAATATCACTGTTTAAAGTTATGAATGTGGATTTTTTTTTATCAGTTCGAAGATTGTTCAACATACGAACTGCAAAATTCATCACCCCGAGCCTATCTAAGTGACATTTGAGAAGTAATGATATTAAAGGGAATCATGTTTAGTTTTTACAAAGAATAAAAAAAAAACATTTCTTTGATTACTACTTTTGTTTTAATTTTTTTTATTTCTGAAAGAAATTTAAACATTTTGGTTACTAACGTTAAGAAATTACTTAAAAAAGAGCTTAGGTAACCCGAACTTTTTTTATATTATTTTTGGTTAGATTATATGCAGTGGGTGCGAGGGGTATACCAGCTAAATCCCTCTATAACCCGCTTAAAGACATTGGATTGCCAAGAGCTTACGTACGCTCTTGAAACGAATATCCAAAGCGGCATTGCTAGACTCGTATCAAATATGGTTAAGCGTGGTAACAGACAGCAGAGGTTGAGCGTTGAACGCGTCGCAAGGAGTACTCCCTAAACCTATACCTGGGTCGCAAGTCCCAGGCGCTGTCGAAGTCGCATGTGTTGCCACGATCTATCACACGGTAAATCCATGGTACTCGAAAGTCTTTTGAAGTGTGTGTAATATATTAAACTAATAGGCAACAAACTAATACAATTTTAGTGGTATAGTAGGCCAAAACCTCCTTCCTAAGGAGAGGCTTATGTCCAGCAGTGGACTAGTAAAGGCTGTTGATGATTGATGATGAATACAATTTTACGACAAGGTTCTTTGGGGCATTTTTCATATTTGAGAGAAGAATAAAATGTCAAATTCAGTGTCGTAACTTTTATATTTATATACTTATCAGATATTATTATTAAATTAGCAAAACTGGAAAGCCTAATCTTAAATCCATTTCCATTGTAAAAAATCATCATGAAGCTTCTTAAAAGTGTAATAAACAAACTCACTTTCCACTTTTCAGGTTCAAATTTTAGTTATATTCGCAACCCAAGAATATTAATATTTAGTAACTTTATGCGAGTCACGCAATTAGAGACTAAAATATTTAAACATTAAAAATAAATAAACAAAGAACAAAATCTATGAAGGAATTGCACTATTAGAGTGCAATTCCTGGAGCTGGGCTGGGCTGGAGAAGCATATACATATATTAATAGTGTACTATATTGTCAACAGTATTATCACACCATAACCGCATCGACGACACGGCGTCCCAGTGCCATGGCTAAAGTCATAGATATGTTCCGTGGTCGTTCCTCTATGCCGGGACAAGGCGTACCAGTAGAGAACGCTGACAAAAGAAAAAGCGGTAAGTACTAAATATTTAAGGTTGAAATTCATAGATTGTAGCCATTAATAGACATGCCAATATTAACGACATAATGACATTTATCATGCTCTTTTTACAACCGGCGGCGTCCACATACGAGTATGTCTAGACTACGAGTATTATCAAAATTTTTTTTCAGTCACAGTCACGTATCTACGATTTTCTGAACAATGTTAAGAGGACCTATTTATATGTGTATCTCATTGAGAATGTTCTTTATTAATTTTTTGACGAAATTGTTATTTTAAAAATACAGTCGAATTGAGAACCTCCTCCTTTTTTTGAAGTCGTTCAGAAATAAGTCCAACTTTGATGTAGGACGTTTGCTTTGTATGAGCCAAGTTAATAGCCAGTCTCAGAAGCATCTTATTCGAGGTGCCAGATTGGCAGGGCGGGATCGAAACAGACCTGCCTAAACGTGTATGTATGTATATGGTTTCAGTACTGAGATTACGTTTGGGTTTAAAAACATAATTAAACTGGTAATGATTTTTATTGTAGGAGGTTTATTACTGAACCTAACAAGCTTTTAAGTTTCATAGTGAAAAACAACAAAACAGCAAGTATTACAGCCCAATCCTTTACTATTGGGTAAAAAAGTTATCGAACCTAAACTTTTTCATCCAATAGTTTTTCGATCGATCAAAAACGTTTTTCTCACGATTTCGACTAATGCGTAATTGTTGTTGCCTAAAGGAAGGATTTATATAGAATCAGTACCTTTTTCAGTTATCATTTTCTTGTAAATTTATACTCGCTGATGATGAAGCTTTCCATCGGTGAAAGAACTTTTAAAAGTGGTTTAGTGGTTTAGGCGTGAAAGCGTTACGAACAAACAAACTCACTTTCACATTTATAATATTAAGGGCTAGCTTTTGCTTACGGCTCCACTCGCATGTATGACGTAAAAGTACCCTATATTACTCGCTGATAATGTTGCTTTCCATTTGTGAAAGAATTTTTGAAATCAGTTTAGTAGTTTAGGCGTTAAAGGTAACAAACATACAAACAAACTAAAAAAACTCTTTTAAATTTATTATGTAAGTATGGATTTTGTAAAACATTCCAACAATGTTTACTTGCTATATTTTGTTAATCCCGATTAAATTGATACTTTAGGACCAGTAAATAAGTTAACTTGTATCTATTATGTGTTTATATAAAAAGAGACCTGAAAACACCTGATAAAAGGCATATTTTTAATTCTGTATACTAGTGTAAACTATTGTCAGTATTAGTAGGTTTTTCGTGTATCGGCTTTCTACAGTTAAAGATTAAGACTTCATATAACAAATAATTTGATTTTTCTAATAAATAATTTCCTGTCCAAGACGCGGATCCAAGATAACTACTAGGACCCCTTAGATTGAAACCTCTGCCCAACATAAATGAATAAATAACGGACATAGTAACTGTCAAAAGATACTATACGTCCTTGAGAATATGGACTGTGTATATGTTTACAGAGTGTGCTGTGTGTACAATGTAATGCAATATGTATTTAAAAAAATATTTATGTATTGTATTGTATGTTAAAATGTGTAAAGTTGTAAACATTAGAATAGATTTGACGAGACTTTAGTTTATGTCTCTATCTGTATTTAAATACGACTTAAAGTGCAATATACACACACAACAGTACAATAAGTAAAATTTTATGAAGTGTTGTGTACACTTTAGATTGAGTTGCCGAAGATACGTTTTTAAGAAATAATGTTCAGTAAAAACAGTGTCTTTCCACAACAAATTTAAAACATGCTAGCTCCGATCCTAAGGGTCTCTGTGAAATAGACTGTACTAATCTTTCTTAAGAATTGCGGTAAATGAAAATTGGTGTATCGGACCGGTATATCCATGTGTCATGATGGTGACGTTGTGACTCTTCTGACGAAGCCGAAGGAAACGTGCAAGAAAGAAAGACAGGAAAATATAATCCACTTCTCCTAAGCGTCTCTAAAATAAGAATCTTAGAGAATCCTTCAATTTTTAATCAGCATTCATTTGTACCTTACCTCGTATTCAAAACTACCCAAAGCAACAGCAACTAAATAATAACTAATACGCTGTCATTTTAATTTCAAACGCGTTTTCGTTTTCATTTGGCATTTTCTTCCAGTCAACCTTGGGGTGATGCAGAGATGTGTGTGTGGCAGGTGTATAATGAGATAAATCATTTTAAATTGTAGTCAGTTGCAAGATGTTATACTACATAGATACATTTACATAATTATATTTACGTATATATATATATATATATATATCGTAAATATATATATAATATAATACTATAAATATAAAAAACATAAGCATACACACATACATCCATACATATATGTGCCTGCAATGATGACGACGCTAGGGCTTATTCTGATGACTCCATTAATAATATTACGAGTATAAGGAGATAAAAGTTTTAAAATAAATACATAAAAACTTAAGTTGGTTTGTCTACGCTTTAAAAACTCAAAAGTTCTGCACCAATGAGGCTCAAAATTTTGACACGATATACCAACCCGCTTCAAAGATCTGATCTATTTTTCGCGTCAGTTTTGTTCCTCATTCCTCTTCAATGTAATCCACAATGTGGCAGAGCAAAGCGCGTCAGGGTAAAGATGGTTTTGTTATAATTTCTTTATCAATAAAGAATCTAAACTCACAAATATAATTTTAACATGCTTGAGTCAATATTTTACATCGCTCTCCCCTGCCTACGATGTTTTAAATAACTGTCGTATGCAATAGATACCTGTACCTGTGTAGAGTATTTAGTTACGACTAATAAGTTTATTGTAGTATGATTGGGGTCTGAAACGACGTAAGGTCGTTGCGTCGTACATTGTGTTAGTACATTTAGATTACCCACTCGAGAGGTAAACGCGAGAGTGTTGCGACCACTGGCATTGTAATCACTTGTGATGAATCGAGGTTAAATGAATACGGAAAATATCACATTTACGATTGTGTTATACGGTACGCTGAAAATAACTATCGTCTCAATTGCAAGATCACGATTCCGCTGACCAATAAAGTGTTAAGTTATCAACGTTTGTGTATCGTACCGAGTACGTATCGCTGCGCGCGAAGGGTTGGTGCGTCTTTAGTGTGTCAAGAGGCTCAAGCGCATGTTCCCCCGTCAGTTTCTCATTTCCGCTCCGGAAATAATTTTGATACCCGCGGATATTGGTGGCCTACACACTCGTGTTGCATAACAATACGATGTCTCGTGACGGCTTCAGTATCACTCAGTACTTAGGAAGATGCCTCCGCGGTTTAACCTCCCCGGATTTATGAAAATGTTTGCACCGATCCGAAATTATAATTTACATTAACTGAAATATTGTAGAATGCATCTAGTAGTGAAGTGACTGTGACTATAATAAAACGAAGATATGGCTAATTATTTTAGATGGAAAAAAGGTAAAAGAGTCGAAGACGAGTATTATTCAGGAAAGCCGCGAAGTAGGTCGTTGGATACCCGTTCCTTTGGAGTTGAGTGGTATTCGTCTTGTTGCTCAAAACCACCAACAACAACAACAGGTAATTATAATATCTGTGTTACTGAGTATAGGGTATTTTTGTTCAGCGCCAAACTGTTACTGCAAAACATAAAAATATTATTTTACTAACAAATAAATTGTTAGATATTTATTTAATTTAGAAAAAGTTACACCATTAAAATGAAATATTATTGCTTGATATTGTTGTAAATTCGAAATTACATTACTGACGTCTGACTTTGCTCGGGATCAGTAGATCGAAGCTTCGTGTGACAGCTAGTGAGTAACAGTTTAAACGCATTCTCTTTTAATTTATTTTTTGTAGGTAAAGGTAATTTATATAAACCCACGTTTTTTGCTCCTGATGGTTACTCACCTACACAAGCGTGTAGGTCACCCACGAGTAGTGCGACTCAGTAAATAGGAGGCCCGCAAGATTATTAAGATTAGATTTACAAGATTGTTTAAGTGTGAAAGATTTTCCCTCGCACTAGTTTTCTTATGCATACCATGCATACCTTATTTGTTACACCGTGCCTCTATTATCTGCGCCCAAATTGATAGTGCGAGATATATCTGTTGTAGGTAATTTGAGTATGTAGTAACAGCATCTGTTTATTTCAAATCGAACAGACAATTTCAGACGTTGGGCAGATATGACGTATTTTTTTAACACGTGGCTTCATTGTTCTCATATTTATAAGAATAAAATTGACTGGAATTAAACGACCTCGATTTGAAAATAGAAGGCATAACCTATGGTCTCCGAAATTCGAACAATGAGTTTTGCATAATATGTATTATGTAAAACGTGACATAATGTCAAGTATGGTACAGCTATTCAACGGCCCAAATATCTGTTATCATTGGTTTTGTTTACCGTGTTTTACAAGCATTTGACCTGTCTGATCTTAAGGACCATTCTCATTCTTTCCATTTATTTTTGTTTTCAATATGCAGCTAAAATAGTTTTTTAGTTCATAATATATTAACTCCTTATACTTATTGTAATAATACCGTACCGTGCCGGATGCACGGTTCGGTATTATCAGAATTTTGAAGAAATTTTGCATACAGGTTGGCAGGAATACAGAATAAGTGTACTTTTCATCCAGAATAAAATATATTACCGATTCAGAAAACCTATACTTAAACCTACCGAAACTATGCGCTTAACGCCTATCTTGTGAAACAACATGCTTCTAGTTAAATACATATATATCAACAAAATGTACTCTTTCCAGTAGGGCGACAGCTAGTAATAATTTACCTCTTCCTTGAATAGGTTACCTAATATAATTAAATATTCTCACTAAGGTAAAAATCAAGATTCAATGGTTTTGTAAAGATAGACGGTTTAAACAATTCTTAGTCATTGTGTAATCATTCATGCTTTTGAAATTAATTTTGACGTTTTGGAATGCCTTAAGTTTCTTTTTTAGGTATTTGGAAGTCCGAGATAAAAATAACTACTATAGTTTTACGTTGGCAGC